CTTTTACGATAAATGCCTTTTAAAAGTAATTATTTTCCGCATGAAGGTTTCGTTTCTGAGACAGCCTGCTACCAGGTTCTCGTGTTCGGCCGGGGGCGCGAGCGGTGAAGTCGCGAAAGGCATGCATGGACTTCTTCGAAAAACAAATTTCTCACTCCTTACTATATCTGACGCAAGATTCTTATACTTGAAAGTCATTCAGAGTTTTCAACAAGTAAAACATGCAATTTCCTGACAGTGACTTGATTTTTTTTCCATTGACGAGTGTGTTTGTTCAGAGTAGTTGTTTATAATTCACTAGTGCGTTATTGACGTGTTCCCTGCCTTCAATTTTATTGGAACTTTAAAATTTTCAGGGCGAAGGCAAGGGGATATATATTTTTAGGAATTTGACGAACCATCCCAGAACCCTTAGGTTTGGTATCAACACTCCGAAATTCTATCACAATTGCGGAATGATTGATAGATTGATTGACTGATGAATGATTTAGGACACGCAACAGTGTTGATTCCCCTGCTGGAAGACCTCTTTTCGATAATGAAGATGAACCACTGGAAATATAGAGTTGTGTGATTCACACAGTTTCGTTTAGTCAATAGCAGTCGTTTTTACTTTCTCACATGGCTGGTTTACAATTGGTAGCTGGTTTACAATTGGGATGGGATCATTACATATAAATCATACAGTTCACCAGGCTAAAATAGTGCGTTTAACGCTGCCGGTAAACTTTGTCCTCCTAGCCTCTATCTATGCAGGACTGTAAATACCAATGTTAACGTAAACTGGCTCTAATCTGATATACAGGTTAAAGTGGAAGATCAAGGAAATCATGGTCAACAAGGCATAAATGCGCTCAGTCACACTGACTCTGAGGATTCTCACCGCAGGTTAGTTTATTTTTGTATTTCTGTGAAAAGAATAATAGCATTAGCCTGCGTAGCTGGCGGAATTCGTGATTAGTGGTTTTTGGTGGCTCTCCGCCATTTTCTCAAACGGTCAGATCCCACGAGAGAATTCGTGAGTGGCGAAGCTACAAGTTAAATTCAATTCAACTTCGCCACTCTGCTTTGCTGCCAAAACAGAAGCACTCGTCAAACATTGGGAGTTAATCCAAAAACATTCTGTAGGATTTAGAATTTGTTTACTGGTTTCGCCCATATTAGATACAAAAGCATATAAACACATGATCCACTAGCCCGTAGCAGGGCTCAGCGACACGCGAGTAACACTTCCACGAGTGAGCAGACATTCGCGTGCGTGACTTTTCGCCCGCCCACCTGATTAAAGCGAGCGTTAATCTCGTACTCAGATCTCCCTCTGTCTGACGCTTGGCAGTGGGATATCTGAATTCGAGACACGATTGTTTAAAAACAAGCGAGTCTGCTCATTCTCGTCCCCATAGCCCTTCTCGCTTCCCCGCCGGTTAAGAGGAGCGAAAAGGACTATGGGGACGAGAATGGCATCTGCTATGCAGGCTAATGGTTCACGATCTTCAGGTTCAAGCAAATAATATTGAGTGTTACGCATTGATCTCTCTTTGAAGGTATGCTGGAGATTTCTCCAATGGAGACAGACGAACACCAGTATTTAAATGGTGTTCGTCGCCATCAGCATCTGAAGGGGCCGTCCTCTTACTTATACGCCCTTGCGACGAAAACTTAGTTACCACGGACACTCCGAGGAACATTGCCCAAAACTGCACATTCATGGTCAAGAAGATGTAAAATGTGACGCTCTATGTTCTTGGCGAAACAATGGAATAAAGAATCGTAGGTACGAAATGAATGAGGACGGGTACCCGGAATTGCTTGACGAAGGAGAAGCAAGGGAAGCAACAGACACATATACCCTTAAACAGTGTACTACAAAAATAAGGCGGCTACTGACCTAAAAAATTCATGATATCTTTGAAAAGTGACGTCAATCCGGCACTTTTCTACCAACAATTAGTGAATTTTGCGTGTGTTCTAATGCTAATGCTGCGATTTTGATTACCTGAGCTACACGTGTGCTATCAACAGTCAGAATAGGAGCAAGTGTAGGGCTAGAAATGCGTGAAGATTAGATGCTACTCTGAGAGAAATGGAGAGAAATAATTGGAAATCGTTTAATTGTGGATAATGTATTGGGAATTCTACTAAAACAGTTAAATTATTTGCTGTCAGTTTCTATCCCGACAAAATAAATGTGAAATACAACACGTTGCTTTAAACATAGTCAAAGAGAGAGGGGGTGTGTGCTGGTGCTTTATTTGTTGTTTAGGGCATAGTTTTCGTTATCAGTTCCATATATTTCTGCAGAATACTTAGCCTGCGAACGCAGACGTATTTCCAGCTGTCGCTTGTCTCCGCCGAAAATAACGTCTGCGAACCCGTGACAGGAAACAACTTCTGTGACAATAATAAAGTGTATTATCGTTTGTCTCACGATGTAGTCACTTGAGATGTAGATCGCGACGTTTCG